GAATATGGAGGTAGGTGGAGGAGTAGAAGAGCCAAAGACTATTAGCCATGACGTTCGAGTTGAGTGGGCCTTAGTCGTCCTGTCAGAAGGTATTTAAATTGTAATAGTCTGAAGAGACGATTTTGATAAACATAGTCAAATATGCGTTTTAACCAGCCACAACTCTACACTTGTTATGTTTGAGGAAGAATTGTTTTCGTATCTAGATGCTGAGGATGTGGGGAATTAAGATTTGTGTAATAAACTGAGAAATCAAATGGGCTGTCAAAAGGGCATCTGGCATAATTAAAGTTCAATAATCCATTCAAGCCATCAACTATCTAACAAACCGATCGGTCAGTTATTCTTCCAGCTGATTATTCATTTGTGTATGGACAGTTCTGTTCATGTGTGTATCCCTTACCAACACCCAATTCAATAAATCCGCCATCCATGCCTTCATGATTCTTATGGTCGGCTCTCATTGATGCCTCGGTGGTGCATTGCGTCCACCACTGAGCCAGTCATGCATTTTTGTAGCCAGTCCAGTCACTCCAGTTGGGCACGCACTTCGATGTGCATGTGCCTTGGTCTGGCATGGATGCATACATTTAATTGTCTCATTCCCTTCTCCACCGTTCCTCTGATCATAAACAAAACTGGGAGGCAATCAATCCACCTCTTAATCTGCATAGCATTCCCGCCCCAAATCTATGTAACTACGTATCTATATTTCACTGCTCCCTATTTTCCCCCTATGCTCATCCCTGCGCACCTCGTGTAAGACTGACAACTTTTATGCGGTCAATCGTTTATTAGAATTTATAGGTCAATGAAATAAGTAAACAAATAATCGACCTATAAATGAATATATGAATGCATCCAACATTAAATGAAATGAGAAAATCAATGGTCCAAATGGTTTGGATACGAGAAGTTTCTTCGTCCATTCCTTCCCACAACCCATCACTTCTTTTCTAACGCTGAACATACAAGTGCTCTTTACTTTTACCAAGTTGGTTATCAATCCTTCATGGTGGCCACTCAGCGATTAATCACGTATCTACTCACCTCTTCACGCATGTCCCATATCATCCACCCACACTGCTTTAATATCAGCATTTCAACGTGCCCGTGTCTCCATCCTTACGTGGGTCTGTAGTTAGTCGCAATTAGGGATGCCTCTGTCAAAGGTTTCCTTTCCGTCCCACATGCATTTGCCCATCACAACACTTGTTCGTTGGTCAGGGTATTCACCCGTTCTTTGGCAATCCCTCCATCATCATCATCATCTTTCAAATTTATCTGATGACCTATTCAATCATTTGCTCACCTATATTGCTCTTCTTACTGTTCTGTATTACAGTCCTCTTTATTCACTTCTTCTTTCACCTCTCAACCTCTCTCGGTGCGACTTAGCCGCTATTTGTCTAACTACCATTTTACTTATAAACCTATCCACAAATCGACCTTATTTTCTTCGCGTTTTTCTTCCCTTCTTCACCTTACTCTTCCACCACCCAAGCTCCTTGTAGTTTCTTTATATTCAACCGCTTGCCCTCTGTTAAACCTCCCAATCATCTGTCCGTCTAAGTGCCTGCCTACCCACAAATATGCGTAGTTGGATACTACCTTCATATCGTCGTGCACACATTCCATATACATCCAGCATTCTGACAAGTGGCTCGTTGCGATTCCACATCCCTCATTCCCCATTGCTTTGTCCACGATCACATTCGCAGTGTCCCACTCACCTCAAGAAGTTCAAAGCTTCTCATTGAAATTGCAAGATATAAAGGATGAGTTATGAGATAAAATGCGATAAGACGAGACGGCTTTCGCTTACGACAAGCATTAGTGATTATTGGGTAATGATACACGAATGTTCACACAAAGTGTTACATATCTCTGCTCCATACCACTCACTTAGCATCTTAATTCATGTTTTCTCTAGCACATCATTCTGTTCCTCCTTCTCCTTGGCGTCTACCTTCGATCCTTCTGCATCTTCTCCTTCATCCTCTTCCTCTCCTCTGCTCTCGTTGCTACTAACCATCTGAATTGTGAGACTAGCACCCTGTCTTAATACATCCGTTTCACCATGTGGTTGCAAATGTGTTCTACTTTGAATGGAGTCCTATCGATCAACACACCAGGTGCCTAGGTGCATCACATTATCATCCTATACATCAACATGTAGACCTGCGCATCCACGTTCATTGACTTGAAGACGAGGCAATGTCTTGCGGGATACATTTACATTATGGTGGTACTGGAAATATAGCATAATTTGATGTGCGCCACATCAATCGGACACGGTAGAATGGCAGTGATGCCAATGCAGACCAATAAACAGCTCTCATTCTCACCCTCAGCCTCGCCACCTGCCAAGTGAACACATGCTGTAGACGGCAAGACGTAGTGACTGATAGCCAATAGGCGCATTTGCCGATTGACAACGTAGTAAAGAAAAAAGGAATAAACAAATGTATAAGCGCGTAAATTCATGAAAATCATGACACATAAGTCGAAGGCGATGCGATGCACGGAACTCATTTAACAAACAGTGGGAATACGTCCAAGGTCATGCTGATCTCGTGGCTGCTTCAGACTTCGGATTTTAACAGTTACGATATACCTGCGGATTTGGCATTGTTGGCAAGGTTTAAAATGCCCAAGTCGCTGAGGATGGAGAATTCGAAATGCTCTCATAAATTAAAGGGCTTCGAAGTAACTGCCACTTAACACACACCTATGTGTAAAATAACACCTTAATTCATACTCTCATGTCACACGGTCTCGCCAAAATGATGCAGTTAATAGTAACGTCCCATCTTGCTTTATTGCAAATCAATCCATATTTATAAGCTTGCTAACGGGTAGGTGGCCAGTGTTGCGTGTAAAAAAGAGTCGCCGTGCACCGTGCTGTACTGCCTCCATTTGTGCAAATGATCTAGTCTACCCTACCTCATCAGCCTATTTATTCAGAAGCAGGGTGTTACCTTTTATGGGAGAACAGAGTACAGGAAAAGTCTTACGGTCAGCCACTAATAATTGACAGACTAACCACAGACTGACTACAGACCGACCGCACCGGAAGCATGGGGAAATCTGATGCATAAGGAGAAGGCATCAATGCGTCGGTACATGGAGGCATGGGTAGAGGCGCAGCTAGATTATGTCCAGCAGCGCGTAGAACCGAAGGATCAAGCTTTCGTAGAACCAATTGCCAAAATTTGTAAACAGAACCCATAGCAACAAAGGCGCTTGTATATCGTCACTATGATTTTGATGCAATGAGAAAGATATGAGGGGCTGAACTTAGTAAGGAAATAATACAGTATGCATTAATCAGAGGCAAAATATTGTTGCAGCATAGAATGGTGAGGTTGTGCATTGTTGGAGGTGAAGGAAATGAAGCTTGACTGGTAAGTTAGAAGTATCGGATAGCGAGCGCTCCAAGTGCACGAGAAAGTGGACAGACGCTTAAATGCCCCTAAGCACCATGACTCCTAGGCCCATGATTTTATGCTTTTAACAGCACACTTCTTTTTTGACGTCAATTCTTACCGCTTGTAGCATGCTAATATCAATCACTTCTCATGTAAACCACCACATACTGAGTGCAGAGTAACACGTTACATTGTCACGAACTTCCACACAGTTGCATTGTTAAGAGCAACAAAGATGGAAGCCTACATGTAAAGCCACATGCACATGTCGTTCTAGGGGTTGGGAGGCTTTGCACTGAATACACCGTTCTCGTGTAGAATTGGCTCGCTCTGCTACCCGGAGGCGATGCATTCTCAGAACAACTTTATTCAACCCCTTTCTTTCCCCGCATTGCTTCACCATTGGGCGCTACACCAACCTCTCATCACAGGACTCATCAAAGCCACTCCACCACTCTGATTTCGTGGGGACCATGACTAACAACGACCTTCAATCACATCACGCATGCTCCTTCAGCAAAGCGATTTAAAGTTATACATTCCATTTTAAGTACGCATGTGCTTAAAATGGACATAATGAGGAATTGAATTGATAAAGACACAAGGATAAGTGAAAATTGCTCTTAAGGCTACTATTTATGCTGGTTTTGCATTGCTTTTACATGCGAAAGCCAAGTGGTGCATTTTAAAAGTGTTTAAACACGCAGCAAGGGTATCAGACGAACTAATACAATCCAACAAATTTGAAACTGTGCAGAAGCATGGAGCACCCACCGGGTTGAATCCTCGCAAACAATGCTTCAATTTAGCCTACAAGTGGCTTACCACGCCCCATTTAATTTGTTGAGAGTGTCGGAGAAAAAAACTAGATGTCAAATGTCACTCAATGTCCTCATGATCCCCTGTCCGTTTAAAGTTCAAGTAAAATTGCATTCCTCGTGTTATTTAAAGGTCATTTTTAGAGGCAACAGTAACAGCAATCGGCGTAACCGATTGAAAGCAAACTCATATTCTCGGTTTATAGACGAGGCGTCTGGAATGGCCTTCGACTGCCAACGTAGCACAGTGCATTCTTTCTTTATCAATTGGCGTGTCCAATGAAAAGCAAACTCTTTTACGACTAGCCGCCATCCTGATCGTCGCAGCATAACGTTACACGTAAGCCTTGCTGTTGCAAGTAATCTCCTGCGCTTAGGGTCAGGGTAGTAGTAGCATTGCGTGCGTTCCATTTTCTTGCATTATGGATGTAT